GAGAGAGAGAGAGAGAGAGAGAGAGAGAGAGAGAGAGAGAGAGAGAGAGAGAGAGAGAAACCGTGTGCTGACACTATCGGACCGAAGAAACCGCCCTTATCAACGGCCAACATGAATCCGGGAGCGGGGCAACATGCACAAAGGACAGAAAATATGGCGGTGTGTCTTTCCATGTTCCGGCAGAAGATTCATTCCCATTTTGCTCATACGTTTGGTGGTGGAGAGCGAAGGGCCGTTGCTCCGCTACTTACCAAATGTGCAAAATGAGAATGAATCAGGTAAGCACGTAACGTATCTCTGGAACCTACATTTTTTTTTTTTTTAGGAGAATTCTCTGAACAAATGAGATTGAATCCTCCGCTTGAACATGGAAGGATACATTGCCATATACGTCTTGTGTGCATGTCGAGAGTGGTGCAGCGAGCCCGTTGGTGAACAGTACCGTTGAGGTTCTTTTTTTTTTTTCTTTAATGAACTCCCGTGGCCTGGTCAATCAATCATGATGTCTCGAGGCCGTCACCCTTTCAAAGAAGGAAGTGGCTGTCAGTTCCGCTCATTTTCTTCCTTTACGTTTTTTTCTTTTTATTTAAAAAAAAAGCCAGGAAAAACGGGTGTCAGTTCCGTCGTTTTCTACTTCAGAAGTAATAAGAAGAGAACGTTGAGAGATCGCGACCCTCGTCATGACTGAATCTGGCCTGCAAGAACCCTACCATACACAGAGAGTGTTATGCGGACTACAGGTTACTAAAAGCTTTCAGGCCAGCGCGGCCTCCAAAAAAAATTTGGCTGCCCGTTTCTTATTTTACGCGAGCAGGGGGCCGGGTCTACTACCACCCCTCAGAACTTTTTTTTTTTTTTCAACCCCCATTTTTGGAGGTGCGCCGCATGCAGTGCGCGCGCGTCGTGCGGGACGCGCGGTGCGGCGCACGTGCACAGTACAGCGCATCGCGATGCGCCGCATGTATGGTATACAGATAAGAGATGCTGGTTGTTCTTTTTTCCTTCCTGGTATCCTTTGCCGTGATTGTGCTGCATAGGTGGCTTGGTATCCTTCCGGGAATGGTGCATCCGACATGCTAGGTTTGCGATTTTTGGCCTAGGGAATGTATTGGTCACGTGCTGGCAGAAAGGGTTCATTCTGGAGGTTGCCGACTCTCATCTGTCTTTCTCTCCTTCTCTTTTGTACTTAGCAGTTTCTCAGTGTGTCCTCATGCCTGTTAGTTTTCAGCTTTGCGCACACCACGATTCCCCCTTTTCTTGATGTGTTATTGGTGGCAGTATCCCATGCAAGTGATTGATGTGGTTGTGGGTTTGCCTTAGTTCGGATGAAGTTGAGCAAAACTGTCCAGTGACAGGTATCTGGGCTGTATGATGTCCGCACTATGGGTAGCATGGGGTTGGCTTGTTTTTTGTTATCATACCAGTATCAATAAACTTCGTAATCATTGATGTCATTCTTTCTAAATTCTTTCTGAACATGCAGGTTGGGGGAGACAGTTGACAGGCCGTTGCTGAAAAACCTGTTGAGGATGTTTGGCGCGCTTGGGATCTACACAGAGAGCTTTGAACGACCATTCTTGGAAGAGACGGCAGAGTTCTATGCAGCTGAAGGGACAAGGTTCATGCAGCAGACTGATGTGCCCGACTATCTGAAGCATGTAGAGGTGTGTATTAATGTTTTATAAGTGTAAGTACTAAGTGGTAGTTAGGATTGACCATGTGTTTCCTATCCCACAATTTATGGAAGTTGCTGAGGTCAGTACAGTCCGATCTTGGTGTGCGGCAAATGATGGCCCAGATCGCCAACTGGCGAAAAAAAATGAGTGGTCGGCCTTGGGGACTGCGGATGGCCCAGATGTTTGCAGGGGCTTGTATTTTGGTGATCAGCTGTGTCTGGGCTGACAGCCTGCATGCAGCCCGGGCTGGTGGCCAAATTTTTTTTGTGACCAGGCTTATGGCCTTCAGAGACTTCCTCCTGAAAGCGTACCAACCTCCTGATATTTATTTATGCTGCGCGAAAAGTTTAGAAGGGGCCGGTAGGCCCGTCACGAGTATCGGGCCGTGGAGGAGCGGGTCTATAGGCTATTAGGTGGCTACCAGCTGTCAATCTTCTTTCCCTTCGTGCATCAAACAGGCACAAATAGCCCAAACGAAATTGGCAGGGCCAGTCAGTGTTCCACATGTTTCCAGATGGCTTACCAACCGTCACTATTCCCTTGATTGCGGCCGCCATCTGTCTCCGCGCGTGTGTGTGTGTGTGTGTGTGTGTGTGTGTGTGAGAGAGAGAGAGAGAGAGAGAGAGAGAGAGAGAGAGAGAGAGAGAGAGAGAGAGAGA